CACTCGGGACTATACTGGTTTTTTTCCTAAAATGGTAGAAAAAGCAATAATAATGGAGGGATTATTTTCAGTACACACATGCAACAGGCTTGTATCTATATATTACATATAAATAAAAGTTTAATTCAGTTATTATTAGTCAGACAGCAGGTGAAAACATTCTCCATTAATCTGAAAGGGTTTTAATGCCCAATGAAACTAATGGAGGAAGTGTGTCTGTTTGCTTTTATTAAACTTCAGATCTTGCTCTTTAATTTCTTATTCTCAAATACGTAGAAGTACCTCACACAGTCAGCCCAGAGAACACTTCAACCAAAGGAAATTTAGAATTTTCGTTTGGTTAAAAACGAGGTCTTTATTTCGAGTGCAGAGCAAATTTTACTTTCTACATCTTCATAGTCTTAAAGCTCCGTGTGGCGTAAATCATGTCATCGGTCAACCTGCCAGAAGGTTTGGGTGAAACTAAAAATGTAAGATAAACATGTCTGACTCCATTTAGAGCTTTATATGGTCTCTGTCCCGGCGCTATCTTTTATTAGTACCGTATGCGCCAGCTCATACTTTGAGATCCACGAGCAGAGCTCAGTTAGAGCCTTTTTCCAGTTTTCTGAAGTATCTTTTATTTCCTTTTTAACACCCAGTGTCAAGAATGAAAGTCTGAACCCAAAGGCAGAAAGAGTCTTTATACCTCAGAATAAAGGAAATGTGTAGGACTCAAAGATCAACAGGGACTGGACATCAGCACAGACTTCTTATAGTAGTGAGGTGAAGTCTTGATGGGAGGCAGGTGTGAGAGAGGGTGAGGGAACAAGCTTAAGCTCCCCTTACTCTCTAGGTCCCCCCAGGTCCTCTTCCTGGTGGAAGCTCTCTAAAGATGTATTGAAAAGTTGTATAAGTTATTGAAGATGATCAGAAAGTAGAATTCGGGACGGTTGCGGGACTAACGAGTTGATTTCCAGCTGTGAACAGAATCAGATACATTCTCCTCCTTCAGAGAACAGCAGGGCTTTAAGACAATGTGAGCAGGGTATCATTTTGGGAGACAATGATTTGTTCAGAATCGCTCGGGGATTTGATTTGATCCCAGGAGACAGGAGATGGATGAGGAGGAGGAAGAGGAGGAGGAAGATGAATAAGTCTTTAGACCACAACCACAAATTGTTGAATACGCTGATTTCAAATTGGATAAATGTTCCTTCCTACAATCCCAAAATATATATTATTGTGTTTCCAGGCGCTGTGAGAGGAACCCGTGCATGCTGGGAGACAAAGGATGCACTCAGGCGCCAAACTCCATCTCCTTCCACTTCCTGTCTGTGGTGTCCAACATGTCCGCCCCTCGTGTCCTCTTCCGGGTGTCAGCGGCCCGCGTGCTGGGCGACACGCTGCGGTTTGGCCTGGCAGGCGGCCGTGGGCGGGGCCACTTCAGCGTGCAGCGCTCCGGCCGACAGACAGGCACCCTCCTCCTGGTGACACCCATCAAGGGTCCGGCCACTCTGGAGGCGGAGGTGGAGATGAGCGAGCTGGAGCATAACTCCCTGCTGGGTCGCTACCTCACCAAGGTCACCCTGTTCGTTTCTCCGTACGAGTTTTAGGGGACGGTTGGCGGGTTCAAAGGCGCTCCTGGCCGTTTCTGACTCAGTTATAGCAGTTTATAAAGAGTCCAACGAACTTTTACAGTCCAGCTGACGTGATTTTTAAATATATTGTTATTTTTATTATTGATAGGAAGAAAAAAGGTCTTTGTAAATACGTCTGAAATACTCCTTTAACCTCTGAGTGTTTGATCGACAGTAGCTACAGTTTGTCGCCGGAAGCGAGCTTTACCTTTCAGTGTTCATCACGTGACGCACACTGGTCCAAAAATCAGAAACCGAGCATCACAATTCCCCCAAAATGACTCTTTATATTCAGGAATTTGATCAATTTGGTCCAGTAACAGCCTGTGGAGGTGTTTGTGTCCATTCAGCAGCTTTTACAGGAACAAATAGGGCGCCATTTTTGTTTGTGACTAATGGATAACTGTAACATTACAGTCACAGAGCAGATTATTGGGTTTCTTAAAGAATAAACATCTTTATCTTTTTTTCTGCTGCACAATAAGATTTTATTGGGACTCTGCGATCCAGAAACATACAGACTTAACAGGCTTCTTTTTTGACAAATTCAGTGTTTTCTTGGCCATATTTTGATATTTTCTTACACCCCTTAAAATCAAGAAGGTTTAGGCCTTCTTGAAGCTCTGGCGACCCCTGGTGGGGGTATGACAGATCATTTTCAGCTTCCTAGATAAAAAATACAGAAAAAACCTGAGAAACTAAATAAAAATCAATCTTATTGTGCAGAAGACTTTGTTTATTTTACTTTTTTTATAATTAGGAGTCGGAACAGCTGTAAGAGTTTTAAAACCTTACAAAGTTTACTGGGTATTTATTTATTTTTCAGAAAAACAGATGCTCTGGGACGATTCTTATATTCAGGTGATTAAACACTAATGAAAACATACGGATTAATATTATTTTACATTTCTGACAATAGATCTTCCTTAATGTTTCACACTGGACCTTTAAAGTTTAAAAACCTTGTCAGCTGTGGACAAAAAAATGATAAATTCTGACTTTTGTACTCTAGAAAGATCTTTTATATACGGGGGAAAATACCCAGGATGTGATTTTTTTGTGCTTTTTCCTTTCAATTTAAATCTTATATAAGTAGGATAATGTAAATGAGGGCAGGAAGCAGAACTTTGAGGGCGGGAGGGGTGTCAAACCACTGAGTGTTTTTGGCCTCTTTGTACGTGATTTACTGTCAAACTTGTTCTGAAAAACTATGAATTCTGTATATAATGTAGCCTTGTTCAAGTAGAGTGTTTAAGAGTTTAATTAAATCTATTAGAAGGTTTTCAGTGTCGCATCAGAAGAACTGGCGTCCGTCTGCTGTTTTAGTTATAAAAGATGTTTTGAGTTTGTGCCTCTGATGCATCATCATGACAGTCGAGTCGCAGAGCAAAGCATCAGTTTATCGTCATTTAACAGGGTCATAAGTTGGGAAAAAGGTTAACAATAAGATCCGATATGAATCCAGATACATAGGTTACGATCCGATTCAGAGACGATGCAATCTGATACAGTTCCTAACACCGCTCACACAGGATCTGGTATTCTAGATAAACAGTAAAATATGTTTGTGAATAGATTTAAGGAGAGAAATAGTCAACAACAGAATCTGGAACTTCTCCATAAGACTCAATACTATCTGAGTGGAGCTGCCCCCTGCGGGACATTGGAGAGAATACAGGTTTAACACACTATCCATTATATAGACTGTCAATGATACCGATGCAGTGATTAGGTATGTTTGTGTCTTTAGGTGAAGTGGACAATGGAGGTGCTGTGTTATGGTTTAACTCTCCCATTGGATGGAGACACAGTCAAACTCTGTGTGGACATCTACACTGATTGGCTGATGGCCCTGGTTTCCCAGAGAGACTCCATCCCTCCACCAATCAGCAGAGAGCCAAACCTGTATGGGCAGAAGATCCTCCGATACCTGTACAGCCTGTTTATACCCAGGTAGACTGATCCCAGATGGCACTTTAGGAGGTCACTGAAGGGTTCTAAGTCTTGTTTTGGAGATTGTAGTGGTCACTTAAGAGATTTTTGGAGGTTCTTGCTCTAGGTTCTAGGCTATTTGGACCTCTCTGTAAAGTTGATATTCTACATAATAACCCCCACCCCCCCACAGGTCAGAACAGGTGAGTTCGGTCTACCTGTCGCTCTGTCAGACAGGTGTTGTGTGCAGTTCAGTTGTTGGCCAGAGAAAGCGCTGTGATGAGCAGAGACACCTGGGAGACTCTTCTGCACTTCCTGCTACGCATCAACCACGCTATTATGGCTTGGCCTACCACTACAGGTGAGCCCGCCCCTTTGTGTCCTGATCCATCTCTTTGTCTGTCTGTGTCTGTCCTGTCTGCCCTCACCTGTCTGTCTCTCTCTGCAGGCAGTGTATGGGAGCAGCTGTCCGACCTGTCGATGGCGGTGCTGTTTGATGTCTGGTTGCTGTCTTGTTCTCGCTGTTTTCCATCTCGCTCTCTGTGGCTGATGGCTAGACAGATGTTGAGCAGCTGGAGACATCAGCCTCCAGTGGTGGAGCAGTGGAGCCGAGTCATCACCGCCCTGACCTCCAGGTATACAACCTAACCGCCATCAAACAAAACAAACATACCAAACAAACCTGGGGCGACAGAAAGTTCTCTGTAGCTGCCCTCTCCCTCTGAAACTCTCTCCCCAAACCCATCCGTGACTGTACTGACCCTCCAACATTCAAATCACTGACAAAAACACACCTT